ATTTTATTTTATTTGCGCATCTTTATTTTCTTGCATAAAACCGCCCACAGCCCAGAGAGGGAGGCGGGCAGCAGGGTCAGCTTTATTTTCTGGGGTCGAAAGCAAGACGGGCAGTCGTCGACCCAGCAGCTATTTCCACGGAAAAAATTCCTGCTTGGGTCTCTGCTGCTTTGGGGAACCCGTATGATTTTTGCAGAGCTTCTACCTTTCTGTAGAGAATGAGCCTGGAAATGGGAGTGGGGGGCAGGGGAGGGAGGAGATTGAATAACTGAACCATGTGCTCGCTGGGACGTTCCTCCGATAGCAGGAACCAGCAACTTTTCCCAGTCTCAAGGCTGCTAAAAACCCCCTCGTGTCTCTTTGATCTCTCTTGGGAGTCCCAGGGTGCCAGCAGAGGCCAATGCCTTCTTCAGCTGTCTCCTATACAAATCCCTCTGGCAGGTACTAATGTGTTTACTTAGGTGCGCAGGGTTCCCAGCGCTGGGGGGAACCAAACGTTTCTCACACGGCCCCACCGAGCCCAACTGGGAAATAGCTTTGCTGATGGGGAGGAGCTCTCTCCGGCACCGGCACCCACCGACAGCGGGAAGGGAGAGGCGGGGGGGGGGTGAAGGCGGCATGGAGCGACTCGGGCGTCGCCGTCCCCGCAAGCACCGTTCACTAAAACACGCACCCCCAAATAACGGCCTCGCTGTCGGTTGTTCGTCCTGCACCGGGGCTCGGGCGTCCTCTGCGGCGAGGCCGGCGGGGGAACGGGGCTGTGTGAAGGGGTGCGGGGTGCTTCGCTGAGGGTGCTCCGCCGCGCCGGGGGCGGGCACGACGGGTTGCACTCAGGTGGGCCTCAAACACTTCTCACCCCTCAAGGCTGGTGACTTACGGTTTTGATTGGATTTTCGTTGCTTAAATAGAAAAGCGTGGGGCTTGGGAAAAGGTGACACGCTCTGCAAATGGTCCCCGCATGGGCCTGAATCCCTCAGAAATAGGTGCGGCACGGAGGGGAAAGCTGGGGTGAGAAACATCATTTCAAGACCTCCTGACACGATCACCGTTTTCTCTGTGTCCTTCCATAGCAGCAGACGATGTCTGATGCTCAGGCTGTTCCCGCTTTCCTTACTTGAGCCTCCTAAAATGCAGCACTACACCCCCACCCCAACAGCCTCATTAGCCAGCCTTGTAGATTGTTTTTTCTCTCCCCTTTCTTTATGTCCACTTGCCTACTGCACTTCTGCAAATTTGTTTGGAGATCACTTTACCAGAGCCGGAGGCTTTTAAAGGATAGTAATTACAGATTTTTTTTCTTCCAGAGTGACAGGTTCTTCCATCCTTTCTTCCTCTTCTCCCAAAACATACAAGGGAAAAGGAAAGAAATTTTCCTAGCTCCTCAAAGATTTTCAGGGAAAGGCACGTTTCTTAACAACCCCAACCCCGCTGGATTTAGAGCTGAATCTGAGAGCTAAAGCTCTGCACGCCAGGACAAGAGGGACCGAGGAGGTTGGCATCGTGCGCCGGGAGATCCACAGTGCATGCTTGGAGACAAACCCCTGAAAGGTGATCAGACCTGCAACCGGCACTGTAAAGATCAAGTTTATTTGTGCACAAAGCATAAATCTGTAAACACGTCTATTTTAGCCAGCGCAAACGTGGTAAATCAAAGTGTGTGTGTGTGTGTGTGTGTGTGTGTGCGCCACAGCCCAGTGAAGAGTTCAAGTTACTGCTCAAGGAGCAGACCCCTCCTGGCTGCCGGTTTCTTAGGAAAACAATAGGGACCTGCCCCGTTTCAGATGTGGCCCAGCGAAACAGCAACCTGCACCTTGGAGCGCCAGACGCCTGAAATTCTGAGCTTTCCCCTCTCTGTAACTTTACTCCTTTATCAACTCTCTGCCTTTCCTACAGTATTCATTTCAAAGGGGGGCTACCCCCGTTTATGGCCCCAAATAAACCGAAGCAGTGCAGATGCAGCCTTCTCTCCAGCCTGTAGATAATTATGCATCCGGCCCGTAGGAAGAAGGTGTGTGCATTGGTTTAGGGGTTTTTTATTAGGAAAAGGGTTAGCCTAACAGTGGAAACCCGCCTTTTACGGATTTAGGGGGAACAGCTAGGGTCTCTCCAGCCCCATTCCCCTCCGCAGCCGCCTCTGCCGGGCGGACCGAAGGCTTCCCAGCCGTGTGCGCTTGAGCAAGGCACCTTGCCGAGGAGGTGCTCCCTGCCCTCCTTGCGCACTTGAAGAGCGGCTCCTTGAGACAACCGGACCACCGTGCCCTCCACGTTACCTCCTCCTGAAGAGAGGCAAACAGAAAACGCCTTTTTCCCGGGCACACGGTCCGACTCCGTCGCGTCTAAGCGGCTGCTGGCTCCCTTGTTCTCCGTTTGAGTTAACCTAGGTCACATAATTTTATTCCCAGGTAGGGAAGGTTTCCTTTGCCTTCTCATAATATTTTCCTCCAACTACAAAAGCCACCTGGATGAAACCAAAGGATTCCTGGGCGTTAGCAAATGCCTGTTAAATGGCTTCATTACCACTCTAATGACCCTTGCACCGCTCCACTCGGCTACTGCTGCGGCTGGGGCTCTGCAAAGCTTTTGTCCCCAGCTTGTGTAAAGTTACTTAGGGATTGCGGGGTTAGAAATTTTACACTTCCAGGAGGGGTTTGTTGCACTGGCAGCTGGGACGCATCTGTAACGGTACAAGTTTGCCTGAAAGCAGAAAATTAGCAAGCCCAAGACACTGCTTGGCTGTTGTGGCTCTAGCAGCAGCGGGTCACAAGAGTAGGAGAAAGAATGGGAAAGGGATTTGTCTCGAAGCAAACACGTACACTTTTCTTTTGGGAGTACCATTCGCTGTGACCCGATCCGACAGCACTAAAATCTGCGTTTCCCTCCTCCTCGTCTCTCCTTGCCACATGTAGCTGTGCATTTTTGTCCTCGGGTTTGTAAATCTAAACGGTTGGTGACACCGAATTAATTGCAGGACAAAGCGCTCCCCAAGATAAATGAAGAAATCTTAGGTCTGAAAGAGGGATAAATTGTTTCAGGTTACACCTGGACCACGGGCTGTGGGGAATAAAGATACACGGGCAGACATTGTAGGTGCTGTTTGAGGAGGAGGGCTTTGTATTAATGCCCCGTGGGGGGTTAACCGTGGGTGTCTCTCCCGCTGCAGTGTGTGATGGGAGATGGGAACACAGGGACGACGAACGGTTCTGTAGGAAATGTCAGCGGTTCGTGAGCTTCCACTGCCCCTCTTTCTCTTCCCATACCCTAACTACAGATTCCCAGACTTGCTTTAAAGTTGGGAGATGTCGCAACAAGTTCTGGGGAGGTCGCGGGTTAGAGAAGTGCGCAGCTTACGCCTCTCCAAAAGAGCGGTGCAGAGCAAATTGTCTCCTGGGGGCTGGACCAACCGCCCCCCGGCAGGGGATGTGGTGGGATATGCTAATAAAGACTGGCCGCTGCGGACCAGCCTCCCTTTCCATGTATATATAAGGGCCCCCTGCATCAGCCGAAGGACACTTGGTCTCGGGTCGTTAATTACTGCGGAAATTGCCCCAGTGCGCTGCAGAGCCCCTCGCTCGGAGCCGGTGGCTGCTGCCCCGCACCGAAGCCTTCGCTGCGAGGATGGAGGTGATGGACAGCTGCCAGTTCTCTCCCTCCGAGCTCTTCTACGACAGCTCCTGCCTCTCTTCCCCGGAGGGCGAGTTCCCCGACGATTTCGAGCCCAGGGACCTGCCTGCCTTCGGCGCTCACGACCCCCCCGAGCCCGCCTGCTCTGAGGAAGAGGAGCATGTCCGAGCTCCCACCGGTCACCACCAGGCCGGCCACTGCCTCATGTGGGCTTGCAAAGCCTGCAAGAGGAAATCCACCACAATGGACCGGCGGAAGGCGGCCACCATGAGGGAGAGGAGGAGGCTGAAGAAAGTGAACCAGGCGTTTGAGACCCTGAAGAGATGCACCACTGCCAACCCCAACCAAAGACTCCCCAAAGTTGAGATCCTGAGAAACGCCATCAGATACATTGAGAGCCTTCAGGAGCTCTTGAGGGAACAAGTAGAAAACTACTATCACCTGCCGGGACAGAGCTGCTCCGAACCGACCAGCCCCACTTCCAGCTGCTCCGATGGGATGGTAAGAGAGGGGCAGGAGCGACGGGGTTGTGGGGACCCCAGGGAAGGCCTGCGTCGTGGGGTCGGTCCCATGGGTCTGAAAGGGGCCGAATGCAGCCGGACATAAGGAAAAGGCGGACGGTTTGGGTCAAAACAGGCCCTTTCTCAGTTTTAACGATGAGCATGCACATGGGCTTTCGGGGGGGACGTACACATGGGAGTACCGTAATGCTGCTAGAGGGTCCCTAGCCCCTGGGGGCTCGTCTCTGTATCCCGTTGTGCCGTGTCTTCCCCCCATCCCC